ATATATGTATGTATGTATATCTATATCTATATCTATATCTATATCTATATCTATATCTATATCTATATCTATATCTATATCTATATCTGTATCTATGTCTATGTCTATGTCTATGTCTATGTCTATGTCTATGTCTATGTCTATATCTATATCTATGTCTATATCTATATCTATATATATACATATATATGCGTGTGTGGGTGGGCGGGTGGGTGTGTGTGGGTGTGTACCTGTTTGTATACGTACTCTTGCTTGGAATAATCATGTATTTTCGTATGATTGCCGTGTGTGTGGCTTTTTTTCTGATGACACTCAGTCGCATTAGTTCACCAGAGAGTTCTCTGATGTTGGGAAGGCGAATGAAGACACACCGTAGAAGAAGCTTTCAATGTCAGACTTCCTGTGATCCTTCCCATAAGAACGTAGCCTGTTCTATTTATAGATGAATGTGTTATATTTATAGATGATTGTAAGCTTACCAGTACACGGGGCCTTACTCGAGAGACGGACACCATGCTATTGATTAATTGAGCATTTCTATTTTTATCCTTCAATCAGAAACTGAGAGAGCGAGAGTTCCAGAGGTATTTCATGGAGAAGGATATAACGCCAAAGGAATTGGAAGACCAACAGAACGAACTCTGCGACGTCGGAGTGGTGGCGCTGATTGTAACACTGGTGAACATGTGAGTGACTCTTGTGTTGATGTGTGAAGTGATAGTAACACTGGTGTGAACATGTGAGTGACTCTTGTGTTGATGTGTGTATGATTTGAGTGTGTGAAGTGATAGTAACACTGGTGAATATGTGAGTGACTCTTGTGTTGATGTGTGTATGAGTTATGTATGAAAGGTTGCCGTGTGTGCGTCTGTGTAGTAGATCTGCGGGACATATCTTTGGCGTGTGTGTGTGTGTGTGTGTGTGTGTGTGTGTGTGTGTGTGTGTGTGTGTGTGTGTGTGTGTGTGTGTGTGTTTGTGTGTGTGTGTTTGCCCAGTGCTTGCGTGTATAAGCGTATTCATGTGTATGACACACCTTAGACGTGTACATCTATGTGATGGACGATACGTTTGCATATGTTTAACTATATACGAATTTACGTATACATATGCATACGGTATCCTCCCTTCCTATAGCGTATGTATATGTACGCTATAGACATATACTACCTCAAACGGGTTGTGTACCTAGAGTCACAGAGTGATATCTCCACGCTACCACACAACCGGAGCACACACGTGCGCGTGTTCGCTGCTGTGGCGGTGGATGTCTTTGTGTGTTGGTCTGTGTCCGGATACACAATCACTTCGCATATAGTCATGCCACATTACAGATGTCTTGTAGTAGCCGTTACCGTAGTGAAGGCGTTTAGAAATAGTGATTCGTTCTATTAATAGCACCTTCAGTCTCCTACGTATTGACCCAACATCCTCCTCTATTATTGTCCACTACCAGCAATTCCGATGCACTCGTCTTCCTGGAGTGTATACGCCTGGGCATCGCGGTGCTTGAGAACGGCAATGAGAAGTTACAACAGGCTTTCTTGGAAGAATTCAATACAGAACGCGGAGAGACCTTCTTAGGCGCACTACATGCGCACATCCAGCAGAGCCTGGAGGATCTCAAGGCAGGGTATGTAGTCGCAGGCTGTAGGGTTTATGGTTTAGGGTCTAGTCGATGCACGTGCATAGTGTATGGGTATGGTTGTATCTTCTTAGGCGCACTACACGCGCACATCCAGCAGAGCCTGGGGGATCTCAAGGCAGGGTATGTGGTCGCAGGCTGTAGGGTTCAGTCGGTGCACGTGCATAGTGTATGGATATGGTTTGTATCTTCTTAGGCGCACTATACGCGCACATCCAGCAGAGCCTGGAGGATCTCAAGGCAGGGTATGTGGTCGCATGCCGTAGGGTTGTAGGGTTTTTCGGTTTAGTCGATGCAAGTGCATAGTGTATAGATATGGTTTGTATGGTGGGTAGATTTGTGTGCATATGGCATGGATGTGTGTGTGTGAAACGCATGCCTGTGCGTACAACCTAAAGCCATCACCATAACCCGATATTAAGTTTTTTGGCTTGATTTATGGTATTTCTAAATATGGATATGCTTTGTTTTGGCGCCAGATATGCGGAGACTACTTTGACCGGCAGCGCTCACAGCAAACTCACCAACCACGCGACCATCCAAGCAATTCTCAGGTTTGTGCTATAAATAGATTTCTCATATCGATCCAAACCATTCTCAGTCATGTATGTCCTATAAATAGATTCCTCATGAAGATCCAAGCCATTCACAGGTATGTGCTATAAATAGGAATCTAATTATCGACCCATGCCATTCTCAGTTATGTGCTATAGATAGATTCCCAAATAAAGACTCGGGCCATTTACAGGGTATGTGCTATAAATAGATTCCGGATACTGTTTAGCAAACCCCTCAGCACCGAGTTTGCCTATCATCTCCATTTCTATACCTGGGCTTCTGAGCAACCCATGTCAACGTGAACGCACGCATGGACCAAAGGCTCATGGCTGAAGCTCATGGCAGAAATACACACATACATATGCACACGCACATCCGATTCACATGGACAGTCAATGTACTTAAGACACGTATGCACACACGCATCTGATTCCTTCTTCTATAGATGAGTCTGTGCATAGCAGGTTTAATAAATGCACTCCTATCATCCGATGCAAAGTGGGAATCAGCATACGTCAACAGCGTGTGTAGCACGCTTCTCTGCTGCTGTTGTGTGAGAGTCACACAGCACATGTACAGCTCATAGAACACAACTACCTACCATACGTGCATGTTCTATCACATGTGCATCTATCTCTCTATTTATTAATTTATCTTTGTATATGTGTATGTGTATGTATATCTATATCTATATCTATATCTATATATATATCTATATATATGTATATGTATATGTATATGTATATGTATATGTATATATATACAAATATATATATATATATATATGTGTGTGTGTATATATATATATATATATATGTGTGTGTGTGTGTGTGTGTGTGTGTCCGTATATATATATGTTATATGTATATATATACATTTATGTATATATATATATATGTATATATATATATATATATATATATATATATAAACATGTTTATATATGTATATTAGACTCATATCCCATATCCCCTATCCTCATTCCAACTCTGCCCCACAGGTTTCTACAGCTGTTATGTGAGAACCACAACATACGACTGCAGGAGTACATTCACAAGCAGAGCATTGGCCCAATGGGGTCGTCAGGCAATCTCGTCAACGACGTCCTGATGTATCTGGACGGTGTCTGTGGCAGCGCCACGCACGCGGTATCTGCCTTTGTATTATGTATGAATATAGTTATAGTTATATATATATGTATATGTATATGTATATGTATATGTATATGTATATATATATATATATATTTA